AATAAAAAAAAAAATCTAAACTTTCGCATTTACAATATTAGCATAGTTGTATGTTGCGATTTTTTCTTGTTTTTATTGATCAAATTAATCAAATCTCTTAAAATGGGATACGAATGCACGTTAGTATAGTGCCACCCAAACTGTATGACTGCTCGGAATTACAGATAAGTTTTTCCATAAAAGTTATTTAGATGTTTTATGGTAAATAATCGCTCTCAGCTAACCACGAGCTGTCATAAAGTTTGAATATTCTTATACTATTAGAGATTTGAGACACGCGTGATGTTAATGCCCTGCACACTCGGTCAAAAGATCAACGACCGTCCCTTACAGAGCAATACTGGCTTGCACTCTCCAAAGACACATTGAGTGAATGACAGGAAAAGATATGCTTTGATTTTCTGATTCTAAGCAGGAAAATAGAGACCATGACAGTGTTTGCTCCGTTTAAAATTAAAAAAAAAAAGTTAAATTACCTTTAACGTTATAGTACAGTTTTTGAAATTATTGTGATCAATTAAGTGATAAACAATTTAATAAATGTCATGATAAATAATGACGTTATTTTAACTGGAATGTTTTGCTTATGCGTTGAGATCTTTATCACGCTTGCAATATTTACCAAATGTGCTGCAAAACATGTTTTGATCAAAATTGAATCTAAATATTTACTTTACAGCTGATTTTTTATCGTTTCCCTGCAATTTTTGTCTTAAATAACGCATGAAGATAATTAAATTGCGTCAGTTAAATATCGTGTGTAATTCAGTTTCACTGATGTGCATAATAATCCTATACACAACGTGAATTACCTACAAAATGTAAAGGAGTAAGCTTGACGTTATTAGGATCTAAGCTAATGCTAATCTACGTTAAATTGCTTGTGTTTTTTTCGATTTGTGTTTTAAAAATCGATTGCTAGGTATTCAGTGCACTATAGAATGTCCGATCATCTACAGTACTTCGTTCAGTATGTGGGAGTGCGTACGAGTAGTTGATCCGGCTCCAAATCGATTCGACACGCGCATGGACCCATTAAAGGACGATGTCCCAATAGTTTATACTAAGAGCTTCACATGCCTAAATTGAAAATTGATTTCCTTTCCTGCCATTCACACAGTGTGACTGGTAACGTACTCACAAACTGTAAGCGTACACTATACGGTACAGTGGTGTCCAAACTTTAGGGTAGATCGTAATTTCGAAAAAAACTGTTCACGGCGCAATTTTAATTACTGTACGTAAAGGAAGGCACGTGGGGAGCCAAAACGTGGGCTTTCTTCAAACCGCTTGTATACACCCGACAATAACGGAGACATGTGCTAGTAGCTAACTACGAGCGGGAGTTAAGTTTGAATATTATAATACGTAAGGGACGGTCGTTGCTCTTTTGGCCGAGTCAACAGGGCATTAACGTTACGTGAGTCGTAAATCTAATCTGGTTATGGTTCAAAATCACAACTTACCCAACCAGTACTACGCGGCCGATATTATCTCTTACATTTGTATGTTTACAGTTCACAGTTAGGTTACTTCGTCGTTCGGACCGAAATTGGACTATTAATTTGATAAGCAGATAACAATATCATTACGACTATTTTAGAAAACTGGGTAGATAAATTATAGTAGGTATTTGGAGATCTTAAGCGATGATTACCTTGTTGGGTGTTACTAGCTGCTTCATGAAGTTTCGGCGATGAAATTAGAATGAGAATTTTATACGAAAATATGTATAATTCATACAACAATACATTAGCAATTTTAATATTGCCCAAATTATTATTTATGCGAAGAAAAATGTTCCAAAAATTTTCAAGGTAAAATAATTGGAACGAAACATATCCTTTCCGACAAGTAAAAATTATTCATCGAGGTCTTAAAATTACATTTTATAACTACTTTAAACCGTTGATTAGGCAATTGTATCTTTCAAATAGAATGAAAAATCATTTTTATTTAATCCTTGGATATTAATTTAAGTTTTGGTTTTGCTATCTCGAGTTTCTATTCTGATTGGCACTCAATGTACTGAACTTTGTCAGCAGTTGTACAAAAATGATGTTATCTTAAATAGCTTACTAATAATAGTAGAAAAAAATAAATATAACGAAAGCTCTCGTAAAGCTTTCAGATATCTCTTGAAAAATAAAGGTTAATTAATTAAATACAATTTCTTATTCACTTGTCTGTAAAAAATGTTATTTTAAGTTTTTTCATTCAATATCCATTTTAATAGAGAAGTTTAAGACCAATTTAAACATTTTAATTGGGTCGTACTTTAAATTTAATATTGAACAAGCAGCGAATTTAAAACAGCACTCGCTAAAGATAGAAACCAGAGTGAATGTCAAATAAACATAAACAATTTCACTATTTTGTTTTTATTTTCGCTTGACTGCACCAATTAAATATTTCCATGACCTGATTTTTGTGTTATTTTTTTGTAAAATCACTTAAAGTTGTAGTACGCGATAGTTTGCTCGTAGTAATTTTTTAAATACAATTATTTTAAAATAAAACTAATAGTAAGTTATCTGTAAAAATAACTTAGACATGAAAAACAATCTATACCAACATTTACGTTGAAAAAATTTCTTTATTTCTTTAAATACACTGTTAACAAAAACATTTTTACAAAGAATGATGTTACTAACCGTGAATTACCACTGATTTTCCTTTCCTTCATATTCAAAAAAAATGAGAGGGATGGCGAAATTTCTGTTCACGTGTTTCGACAATGAAAACTCATGGTAACAAAGTGTTAAATATACCATACGATAGTATGCGCCGTTGTAAAGTCAGAGGCAGATATTGACCTATCGCTACATTGTTGATGTTATATCACTAACATTAATGAATAAATTTATTTCATATCAATTTGACTTACTCGCGATACGCACACTGTTATTGTTTTAATTATAGATAACGATGTGTTATAAAGTTGCTTAAATTTCGTATATGAACTGAATTTACACTATAGTGTGACTACAAAAATAATTACAAAAAGATTATTATACTAATATGCTATTAAACTAAAAAAGAGGACTTTCATGACTGTTTATATAACTCTACTAGCTACCTTACTAGCTTTCGCCCGCGACTCTGCCCGCGTGGAATTAAAAAAAAAGTAAGCAGCCTATGTGTTCTTCCAGACTATCCTCCATATCTATGACAAATTTCATCGAGATCTATTTAGACGTTTAGGCTACAAACTATAACAAATATCTATCCATCTAAACTTTCGCATTTGTAATATTAGTAAGATTAGTTACCGTGATGATGTATGGATCTGAATCATCATCATTAACAGCCTTAGGTCGTCCACTGCTGGCCTCCCCCATGGATTGCCACGATGCCCGGTCTGGATCTGAATGTTGGGCAGTAAAAGGGACGGATGAAAGAATACACGTGGCGGAAATGCGAATGTTAAGATGGATGTGTGGCACGATTGGATAAGATTCGAAATGAGTATATTAGAGGAAGTTTGAGAGTAGCCCCAGTGGTTGAGAAAAAAAGTAGTAAAAGGTTAGAGTGGTATGGGCATGTTATGAGAAGGGATGAATAGCATATAACAAGAAGGATGTTAGTTATGAATGTGGAGGGGTACATCGGTAGAGGTAGACGTAGAAAGAGATGGATGGATTGCGTGAAAGGTGACATGATCAAGAAGGGAGTGACGACTGAGATGACGGATGATAGAGTGCTTTGGAGGACGGAAACCCGGTGCGCCGACCCTACGGGAGTAGGATAAGGCGGGGGAGATGATGAGTAAGATTAGTTACCGTGCAAAACGTAGAGGTATCCGATTGTCGTGGCACTTACTCTTGTAGACTAAATGCTTATTCGCTTTATATCCTTGGCAAATACTAGATGCGTTTTCTGGCACAAAATCATCTAATTGTAATTTATTTACATTTATAATATTTACGGTGACAAAGTCTGTATGAGGAGCTCATAAGGACAAACATGACACTCGTTCAGACTATGGAATGTAGGAATCTACCAACTATGGTCAGTTGTTAATAGGCAAGCTGTTAGTAAAATTTTAACATTTCAACCGGTTCCATAAAATTTGAGTAAAAAACTGTCGATTTTATGTAGACGGCCCATCTGTGATATAACCCGACGCTACTATAACATTCATAGTCTAAAATATCATAAAACTGGTTTTATTGAAAGTGTAAATTAAATTACCAATTCGCGACAATGTTGTTTTTTCCTAGAACCCAATAAAAAAATAATAAAACCAAAGAAATATTTTATTGTTAGTTAAAAGTCAAACAGCGTAGAACTTCGCCCAAGGCTCTTAGGTACGAGTCGACGACCCGCCGTCACCTT